GATCCACAATCTCCCAGAATCCGGAGGCTCCAGTGGCTCCTTTTTCGCCCGACAGATGTTACTCAAAGGCAGCAGCTCGCTCTGCCGGAGACCTGGAGTGGCTGAGTGCATACCTTGTCTTCTCCTCCCCGCCTTCCCCAGTTTAAGTCCCCCAGCAGCCCAGCCCCTCCAGGCACCCGATGAAGGGAGCTGCTGCTCCTGCTGCTCGCCAAAGCTCCTGCCTCCGAATTAAATGCCTCCGTCAGAAAAGGGGCTCCCGGCGCCTCCTGGATTTTGGCTGCCCGAGACTCACACGGTCTGGGTGACTCCGGAGAGCAGGAATTTGGGCAGCTGCAGCGGGGCGGCTGTTCTCATCCACCCACGAGAGAGGGGGAACAGTCGCACCCCATGCCCGTTTGCAAGTTGCAGACAAGCACGGCCCCCGCCCTCCAAGCCCACTGGCCTCACCCGCATGATGCGGACGTTGAACATGCGCAGGAGCCTCTCGTTATGCTCCTCCGAGGTGTGAATGTCCTTCCGCAGCTTCTCCGCTGCCCGCGCGTAATCGCCGCGAGCCGAGTACATCCACTGCAGGGTGAGCCCCCGACTCTGGGCGAGGATGACAAGAGGCGAGAGGAAGGATGGAAGCCCGGGCAGCGGGCAGAGGGGTGGGGGAGCCCCTCCCAGAAGAGCGCCTGAGCCCCGCTACCTGCCAGGTGGCGCCACAGGTGAGAAGGCCTGCTCCTCACCAGTGGGCCCCCTGCTGGAGGCCACGAGAAACGCACTCAGGCAGCCCGGCTAAAAATCAGAAGGGTTTCAGCCTCTGGGTAAAATTGGTACGGAAAAGGCGCTATTGGACGCCTCCTGATTTTTGGCCGCTGTTGGCTGTCCTCCTGTAAGACGGAATGGATGAGAAATTGGAGCCCCTGAATGTTCAGATGAGCATACCGGTCTTGGTCTGCTAAATGCACAACGCACAAGTGCACTCAAATCCGCGCTTTTGGGAGCACCGTCTGAAACAAATTTGCGGAAAATGCTCCCCAGATGCTGGTGTGAGGGAAACGTGCATTTTGCAACGGGAAGACTGTGACTGCACCGACCTTCAGCTGCAAGTTGTATTCGTTGAAGTGAGCGATCTTTTGCAAGAGAACATCTCCGTAGCACCAGTAGTCGAGGGGCAGGAGGTGGTCGTGGCTCAGCTTGATCAGCAGGTGACCCACCACCTCGGCCACCGTCTTGGCCACGGCGGGGAGCCGCCCCTGGAGAGCCCGGTTCAGGTTGTCATAGGTGTCCAGCATGGTGTTGAGAAAGGGGTACGGCCGCGAGTCCTGCAGGGGTACAGGGAGACTGGTGAGAACCGGAAGGCAAGCACTGGAGCCACCGTGGCCCAGAGGCCTCTGCCCCCCGGCAGAGAAAGGGCTGGAGGCCCAATTCCCCAATGTGTGCTCCCTCTGGGGCGGGGGGAAGGATAATGGCCGTTGCTAAGGGTGGAAGGAGAAATGGTGCCCATTTATTTCAGCATTGCCCGGGTGGAGACGGTTCCCCACCTTTTGGGCAGGGGGGTGGGGATCTCACCTCCGCGAAGGAGAATTCCACCGCCGGCACGCCCCCGAAGGACGTAAAGGCGAAGGCGCTGCTGCCCATGGGGAGGGGCAGGATTCTGGAGGGGAGAGAAGCCGCCCAGCCTCAGGAGGAGGAAAAGGGAAGGGGGAAGCCAGCATGGAATTCCAGCAGGCCTCGGTGCCCGCTTCTCCTGAGATTTCGATCCCAGCCCTGATGTAAGGGGGACGGGGGGGACTTGGGGGTCCAACGCAGGGGAATCCAAGGGAGGGCATTCTCCCAGAGCGCGAAGGGTGCCGATGGGGTCCGTGGCTTGTGCTCTTACCCCTCGTTCTCCCAGCGCTGGCCCTGCTCCGTCATCTGCTCAAAGATGGTCTGGCCACTGCGATTGGGGCTGTCCACCTGCAGGGAAGAGGCGTGGGGTGGAGAGCAAGCCCCTCCTCGCGGACAGCCTTTGCCTCCTTTCACCCTGGACCCCCATTCCAGAGGCTGCCTGCCTCCAGCTGGACCCCCCTTTCCCATCCCTCACGGGCTCCTCACCTGCCTGATGACGCTGTCGATGAGGCTGATCAGGGCAGGGCTGGTCTTGGCCAAGAACTTGTCATCTCCTGCAAAGAGAAGAAGACCAGCGCCAAAGGTTCTAGCCCTGATTCCTAAGTCGTCCCTCTTTTGGCCTCTTCCAGTTTCCTTTTCCTACTCTCCCACCAATGTCTCCTTGGTTCTCGTTTTCCATCTGGCTGGGGATGATGGCAGTTGGTGTCCCTACACACTTGGAAGCCCCCTTAGCAGACTAGAATGTTTCACCCTCTTCCTTTCCACAGACCACCTAGGGAAGCTGACCCAGCCTGTCCCCGAGGCCAGCAGTCTCTTTGAGGGCTCTCTCTGAGGGGTGGGCTGCCTGCCCTCCCCTTCCCCACTCACCCAGGACTGCATTGTCCACACTGATGTACGCGGCGGCCTTCAGATGCAGCATGGTGAGGTAGCCCTGCAGAGACCAGAGTCTGTTTTAAGGAGGGGGATGGAAAAGGGGAGGGGGCTTCCCTGTTCAGAGAGCCTCCTGTGGAGCAGCTGGGAGGAGCGGCCCTCTAGCCAAGGTTTCTGGCCCGTGTGCTGCCTGGGAGACTGACATGTTGGCTGGGAAGGGTCTTGGGGGCCGCGTCAGATTGGTGGGTTCCCAGCGCACCCCTCTTCTGCTAACCCAGAGGAAGGGGATGCAAACATCACTTGCCCCCAACCAGGCACACTTGGCCTGCCCACGGTGCACCCCCAGGCTCAACGCAGGGAGCCCAGCCCACTAACCTCTAGCCACTCGGTGGAGCCCACGCTGCCAAAGTCACCGGCATCCCAGCTCACAAACAGCAGGCTTCTTCGCAGCTGGAACCCTGCAGTATTGGACGCAGAGCTTCACCCCTTCTAGACAGCTTCCAAGTTCCTGGCCACCCGGCCCTCGCCCCTGCCACCCCCAAAATGGCCCCCAGCAGCTGCTCCTGCTCAAAAGGGGGCCATTATGCCCATCCCCTTTAACGCAGCCATCTTTTTGCAGCCACATGTTATGGCTGGTGGACGTTGGCCCTGCCCCCCGCCAATGGCTGAGGAAGCGGCTCCCCCAATGCCTCTGTCATCGACTTACCATTCTGCACCATGGCCACAAAAGTGCGGGCCAGTTCCAGGAGAATGGCGGTGCCCACACCGGACCGGGCGGCTCCTGGCCCCAGGGAGTCCCGCTGAGCCCCCACAATCAGGTAGTGATCTAGCAGGTCCGGAGGATGCGAAGGGAGGGACAAAGTGAGCACGAGGGACCCCAGAGAAGTCCCGCTTGCAGGGCACCCGGGAATCCCAAAACGCCCGTCTGCTTTCCTTGCTCCTCCAGGTCCCGTCCCCACCTACCAGGCTCAAATTTGCCCTCAATGCACCCAAAAATGTTGTTAATCATGACCGACTGCCGAACGTTGTGCACGCCCAGCTGCAGGCGGAAGCCAGGATCCCCCGGGCCGAGCAGGTAGGCGACCTCCGGCAGCTGCCCCTTCCAGGCTGGGGGGGCCGGGGGGCCGGTCAGCTGCCTGCAAAGAAACCAGAAAGGGCATGAATGTGGCGCCTGAAGGCGGGCGCACCCCCACCCTCCAGAGCGACCCCTTTTCCCCCGAGAACATTGGAGGTAGGCTGGTCCACCCATTACCCCCGCCCCTCACTCCCCCCCCTCCCTCGGGCCGTCA